TTTTCTGTGTGTCCCCAGCACTTAGCACATTGCTTGGCACGCAGTAAATGCTTAATAAATACTGGCTGAGTGACCAATTTACCAGCATTTATTAAGCACCCACTATGGACAAGACACTCTACTGGGGATACAAGGACAGAAACAGTCCTTTGCTTTCAACGTGCTTACATCTGGGGGGGGGGTGGGGATATGAACATATAAAAATATGGACAAAATAAAGATAAAATAAGTACAAGATAACCTTAGGAAGGGAAGACACCAGAGCTGGGACGATTAGGAAAAGCTTCACATAAATGTTTTTTGTTGTTCAGTTTTTCAGCTATATCTGACTCTTCATGAGCCCCCTTTGGGGTTTTCTTGGCAAAGATACTGAAGTGGTTTGCCATTTCCTTCTCCAGCTCATTTTACAGATGAGGAAACTGAAGCAAACAGGGTAAAGTGACTTGCCCAGGATCACACAGCTAGTAGGTATATGAGGCCAGATTTAAACTCAGGAAGATGAGCAGGCCTGGCAGTCTATCCACTGAGCCACCTAGCTTCCCTAGAAGGATAACTTAGGCTGAATTTTCAAAGAAACTAGACAGTCTAAGAGAAGGAGGTGAGGAGGGAACACATTCTGAACATGGCAGACAAAGGCACGTGGACAAAAGATGGAGCCTCATGCATGAGAAACAACAACAGAGGTCAGTTTAGCTTGATCATAAAATACAGTAAGGGAAGTAGTATATCACAAATACGCTCTAGATCTTCTAGAGCAAGGCTTTCTACATGCTCCCTCAGGGTTCTAGCAGTATCCCTGTCTGATAGAAACAATATCCTAATCCTTATCCCTATGCAGGTGAGACTAGCTTTTCCTTATTAATATATTAAGACAAATCTGGTTGGCTCAGGAGACTAAGGACTCACACTGCTGACATCATTTCCTCATTGCCTGGATACAAAAGCAGCCACACAAATGGAAGGGGAAGGGGAAGAGTCCTTTAGATTTTTGGGTGGTGGATGGATTGTGAGGTGAGTTTCTCTCCTTTGAATGTTAGGGTCAATACCCTTAATGCATCAGTCATTTACTGATCACCATGTAAGGTAATATAAAAGCTATTTGTTAATATAGACAGCCCCTGACCTCCTTTTTCCCGGGAAAAGCATATTCCCAGAAACAAGAAAAAAGATTTTTCTAGTTTTTCTTTCATCCAATGGTATAACAACAAATAATAGTAACTGGCATTTATATACTGTCTACTATGTGCCAGGCACTGTGCTAAGAATTTTACAAATCCTAATCTCATTTAATCAAACAATCCTGTGAGGTAGATACTGTTATAACCCTCATTTTACAATTGAGGAAACTGAGTCAAACAGAGGTTAAGTGACTTACCCAGAGTCACACAACTAGTAAGTTTCTAAGACTGGATTTAAACTCTGGTCTTTCTGACTCTATGCCCAGTACTGGGTCATCTAGCTACATCAATCCAAGGGTTCTGAAGGAGCAGAAAAATGCTTAATTGGGTTTTAGTCCTCTCATAGGACCTGGGGAAGGATTACTTTCATGGGGTTTGTGAACTTGGGTGAGAAAAAAAAGGGTACATCTTTATTTTCAGTAACCTCTAACTGAAATTTGGCATTTCCTTCAATTATTTTAAAAATATCATTCCGAGGAGTCCATAGATTTACCAGTCTGTTAAAGGGATCCATGACATGAAAAAAAAAAAATCAAGTAAAGTGAGGAGGCAGACAGGCGGCTCATCAGATAGTTTGGGGTTCTGTACTTAGAAAGACTTGACTTCAATTTCAGCCTCAGACACTTATTAGACCTAGGACAAGTCACTTGACTTTGTCACAAATCTTTCCACTTTGCATTAGGCCTGGTTTCAACTCCAAGGAACAAGACGCCCCTGTTAGGATAAGCTCATCTCGCCTAAACTTACCACCATGCTTTTTAACTCAGGCCTTGATTGATGGACATCACCTCTCAGCCTCTTCTCCCTCTAATTAGAGGACTGGGGGTAGAGTACAAACTCTCCCAAAAGTCTTCCTTTATTTTATTCTTCCTGATGAAAATTTTTACTGTTTTAGAAACAGAGATAAAGCATGTTTTTAAGGTTCCTTTCCTTAAAGCATGGTTACCATAATACATATAAATCTAACAGGCTAGCTTCTCACTTGTGATAATATTCCAGACCAAGATTTTTTGGACTGTTTGGAAAACATAGTAAACTATGGATAAAGCCACACTAAGCATTTGTTCTGAAAGGAAACCATATTCTGGGCTGAAAAATGGGGATCAGTCGAATAATTACAAAAAAGAAAAAAATTTTTTGTAGAAAAAGATGATCCTTTGTGAGGTGCTTATTCAGATCTTTGTCACTTTCACTATACACTATTTTTTAAAGGATGCTGTTTTATATTTTCTATACTTATAGTTAGAAATGTAAATAACTAGCAGTTATGAAATAACCAAGTACTCCCATCAAAATGCATGTAAAAAAACCTAGAAACATAACATATTGTTGAAACCAACATTTTTTAATCTGATCATAATCAGTTCATGAAAGTTTTGATAGTTTTACAGCTTGAATGGCTTTCACTGAAATGGTAAATGAAAAATAGATTTTATGTAACCCAAGTATACATTTTTTGAAGTCTCTATAAAAATGAGATTTTAAAATAAGGATATCTTGAGAGAGTCATCTTCAATTATATGTCTTCTACAAGGAAGAATATGCATATCCTGGAGGTCTTTAAAAAACTACATATGGGGCAGCTAGGTGGCACAATGGCCCTGAAGTCAGGAAGATCTGAGTTCAAATCCGACCTCACACCAAACATTTAACACTTATTAGCTGTGTGACCTTGGGTAAGTCACTTAACCCCAACTGTCCAACAAACAAACAAAAAGTACATATAATATTAATAAAAATCACTTAAAGGGTATAGTTTTGTTGTAATAGCAGTATACTGACACTGCTCTAAAACAGTATTTCTCTACTGGTTTAAATTAAATGTGTTCAAGAAGCAAAGCCTTCCTTTATAAAAGACAGAAACTGGACTCAGCTCATTCCACTCCACAGAACAGGATGCCTTCGCTGAGGGTACCCCCTCCTTTTGTGTGCTGTCTCTCCTTTTATGTTATAAAATGTAAGGGCAGGGACTGTCTTTTTATTAATGTATCCCCAGCACTTGTACAGTGCCTGGCCACATAGTAGGCGCTTAATAGATACATAGTAGATACCAATGCAAACAGGGTTAAATGATTTCCCTGGGTCTCACAGCTACTAAGTGTCTGAAGCCAGATTTGACCTCAGGAAGATGAGTCTTGATTCCAAACCCAGTGCTCTCTCCACTGCGCCACCTAGCTGCCCCACCTGACATGACATAAATCATTATGATGATGATGATGATGATGAGGATCAAGTGTGATAATAATATAAAGCACACTAAAGCCACTCAGCACAGTGTCTGGTATTAGGTGCTATATAAATGTTAGCTATTATCACTGAGGATCAAATGAGGTAACAATTGGAAAGAACTTAGCACAGTGCCTGGCACACAGTAGGGGCTATGTAAATGCCGGCTATTATTATCATCATCATCATCATCATTAGGATCAAATGAGATAATTGGAAACCACAATGCCCCGCACATAGTAAGCTGTATAAATGTTGATTACTACTGCTGGTGCTACTACTACTCTTTTTTTCCATGACTTTTATTTTTTTTTAATTAAAAATTTTTTTAATTTTATAAACAATTTTTTTTAACATGCGTTTTTAAAACTTTGGGTTACAAATTTTCTCCCTTCCTCCCTCCCCACCCACCCTCATTGAAAAGGCAAGCAACTCGATAGAGGTTATAGACGTGTACTACCACTACTCTTAACCACCACCACCACTACCATGTGCCAGACTTAGGGCTAAGCGCTGGGGCAGATCTTGCCCTCAAGGAGCTTATATTCTTCTACCACGACACTTCGTCTAAGGCGCCCCGACCTGAGATTTCAGCGGGAATGGGAAACTCCAGGAGAGGAAACGCCCCCTTCCAGCGCTGATCAATATTCGATGAGAGACTCTGGGAGATTCAATGACTTGCCCAAGACCCTGCACCCCGAGGCGGGACCCTCCCTCCTAGGCTACCCTCCCGCGCCACGCAGACCCGTTACAAGAGCAGCCCCCTTTGCTCCTGCCCGACCCACGCCCCCCACGCCAATTCCCAGGGTCCCGCCCCAGCACTGGCGCCCCAGATCGGCCGGTCTTTGGGAGGAGGTCTCTAGTGGGCCGTTCCATTCCGGAGAATCCATCGATCGTGGGGGCAAAACGAGGGATGAGGGCAGCCGCAGGGAGCGTTAGAAGAAAGGGAATGCCACCCCCAGTACAACTATTTCAATGAATTTAGAGGAATCTTCCTCATTGAGATGTGGAGCCTCACCGTCCCGCTCAGAATTTATTTTTCACTTTGGAATTGTCTGTTTCTTTGCGTAGTCAGTAGACTAGTCTAAAGTGTCGTGCGCGGAGGGGGTGTTATGATTATAACCTGGTAAATACTCTGTTTAGAAGTTAATACAACACTATGCAAGAATCTTACTGAACTTTATATTTTCTCCGGAATTGGTTAATGGGTGACATTTCTTTGTCTTTTGGTTCTTTCAAGAAAGGAACTTTTACCTCCCCTTTTGAGGCTCCCAAATGGTTCAGGCTGTTAACGTAGTGCTTAACGGGATACTGCGAGAGTGACTGCCATGTTGGACCGAACCAAGCTGTTTCCCAAAAATGGGGGATCTAAAGTTGGAGAATATTTGACCTAAAGAACTAAGCGTCATCAAAGACCGAAATCCCGCTTCTTGTGCCAGTAATAGAGTATATTCGAGACATTCCCAAACAGGTCTCTGCGGTTCTGAGCTCTTACAGGCACGCCGTGGCACACAAGGGCGTGGAATCTTCCCCCTCGCCGTAGGCCCGTTGGTACGATCCTTCCCTCAGGTTGGGCGCACATGGCCTGGGAGTAGGAGCCGGCGGGCCCCGCGGTGGCAGCTGGTAGAGTCAGAAGTTTGGTGGCGGCGACACCAGGGGAGCAGCGAGAGCTGAGCGGCGGCGCCAAGGCCCATGCAGGACTCGGAGAACGTGGCGGTGCCCGAAGCGGCTGAGCAGCGGGCTGAGCCGGAGCAGCAGGCCGCCGAGGAGGAACCGGAGCGGCCTGCGGGGCCCGGGGCCCAGGAGGCGGCGGCGGCCGCCTCCGTTCTCGTGCCCGAGGAGAAGGAGGAAAAGGACGTCGCTGCGGCGAGGGTGGCCAAGCCTGGGCCGGAGCCCGAGGCAATCGCGAAACCTCTAGCAGTAGAGAGGACTTCCGGCGCACCGGCTCCGGCCGGGTTGCCGCCGTCGTTGTCCCCACCTCCGGGGGAGCCGCAGCCGCCCGAGAAGGTTTCCGAGCCCAAAGCGGAGCCCCCGGCGGCTAAGGAGGAGAAGCGGGAGGAGAAGGAGAAGGCGGAGGACCGAGGAGGGAAAGAGGAGGAGGAGGAGAAAGAGAAAGAGGAGGCCGGGGGCGAGAAGGAAGACCAGGGCAAGGAGGCCGAGGCCGAGCCCAGGCGCCTGGAGAATGGCAACGAGGAGGACGAGATCTCCTTCAGCGACCCCGAGGGCTTCGTGGACGACATCAGCGAGGACGGTGAGGGCCGGGGCTGGGGGCGGGGGGCGCGGAGGGGGAGGGCGGGGGGCCTCCCGGAATAAGAAACAGCCTACCTCTCCACTCCCCCCGAGTCTGGAATGGTCACCTAATAACGATAGCCCCTATTTATCTTCTCTGACTATAACCCAGGCTGTCGGAAGAATTATCACCAAATGAGGAAACTGAGGCATGCAAGTGACAGACCAGAGGTTACAAAGTGCTCCTTTTTGTGCCTTGTGCTGCTTTCGCAGTCTGATGAAACTTACACGTAACGTTTCCTAAAGTGACAAAGGAAATTTATCATACTGAATTATAGTGGTCAATTTCTTTCTTTCTTTTTTTTTTTTTTAGTACAAGTTTCACAGGTGTAAGTTAAGTATCTCGGGGGTCTAGAACCAGGGTTGGAACCTGACTGCAAGTCTCCATCATTTTTTTTTCCCTACTTGTTTATTCAGATTTCTGTGGGTGGAGAGACTGTATATGTGTAATGAGTGAATGGGAGAGGTTGGGGGATGGGGTAGGGAGAAAAGTAGGGATGACCTGAGCAAGTTACTTTACTTGTCTGAGACTCAGTTTCCTCATTTGTAAGATAAAAAAAGTTTAATCACGCACTTCACAGTGGTGAGTATCAAATAAAATAATGCACATACAACACTTTTTCCAATTCTTTAAGTTCTATAGAAACAGGAGTAATTTCTTTCTCTTTTTTTTGAGAAAAGGAAGAGAGAGATCCTTAAAAATGCTACTGGACTACACAGGTTTGAGTCAGAAATGTTCAAAGTATAATAGATCAGTATTCCAGGAATTTATTTTCTTTTTACAAAATAGATTAAATACATTATGTGTTTTACTCACAGGCCTCTGACTACAAGAACTATGGGTAAGGTTGCCTTTTCTTTCAGATAATTGAGTATATTTGCTGTACTGCATTGTTAGTCTCTGGGTTTTACAGCATTTGCTTCTCTTCCAGGGAACCTCAGAACAGGTCCAGTTTCATGACTTTTTCTTAATTTCCCCTTCCCCTTAGTTAAGATTTTAATTGACACACAGAAAACGCACTAATCTCAGATATTCCTAGAATTGGTAAGGGGGTAGAGTTGTAAAGTGGCAGCAAGCTGTTGTCATCTGCCTAGGTAATCTGCTTCTCCATTTTTAAACTCCATGAATGATGTGTAATATAATAATAATTTGTATTCATATTCCTTAATATAAATTTGAGTTACAAAAATATAAGTATGTATATTCCCATTTTGCATGTGAGGAAACTGCAGCAGAGAACAGATTATTGTACTTAAGAGTTAGAAGGGAAGGGTATGAAAGTAAGGATGCAGGATTTGGGTTTAGATTCTGCCTACGATTTATTTATTTGTTTGTTTATTTTTTAACCTTGAGTAAATTATTGTCCCTTTCAGAGCTTTAGTTTCCTTATCTATCAAATGAGGAGGTTGGACTAGATGGCTCCGGAAGTCCTTTTCAGCTCCAGAACTATGGTTCTGGGTAGTGGGTTCAAATCCCAAATCTGCCAATAAAATAATATGTTTGATAGGCGGCATCTTTGCCTCCATGGGCTTCAATTTCATTAATTCTCAGGTCCCTTCCAGCAGTTAATCTATGAAGGGAGATTACCAAACAAGCCTCCTCATTTTTCCCGATTGAACAGCTTAAATTTTTTTTTTTACTTTTTCCAGTTAACACACTTTTATTTTCTATTCCTCTCTCCCCAGGTTAAAAAAAAAAAAAAGAAAAATCAGAACTTCATAACAAATACGTATAGTCTAGCAAAATAAATTACCACATTGGCCATGTCCGAAAGATGTCTGTATCTGCATTTTAGATCCAACGCATTGCTTCATCTTTGGCCCTCTGGAATTGCTATTTGTCAGAGTTCTAAAGCTTTTCAAAGTTGTTTTTCTTTATAATCTGACACCTTTATTTTATAGCTGAGGAAAATGATGTGCAAAAAGGTTAAATGGCTTTCTCAGAGTCACCTAATTAGTAGCAGAAATGGAATTCAGATTCACGTATCCTGTTCCTTAAATCTATCACTCTTTTTTCACACTGACTAAAATTAAAAATAATCATAAACCTTTTTTGTAGAAATATGTAATAAAAGAAAACAATGTACAAAATTGTTGACGTCTTGTAAATTAAAAAGAATAGTGGATTATGCTCAACCATTCATTGAATTAAAACTAAAAAAATTTCAATTCCATATTATTGGTGCTGCAATTGAAATATCAAGGGAAATCTTCATAATGCATTTTTAATACTTATGAATTAATTCAAGGTGTAGACATGGTTTGACAAAGAGTTTGTAGCTAATACAGCAAAATAGTTGTTGAATTGAGCAACTTGGATTTAAAATATCCTTGAGCTTTAAGAGACTTAGGATGTTAGGACTATACCTTAGATATTATAATAGCTAGCATTTATCTCTTTCAAGTTTGAAAAGTACTTTACATACGTCAATCTCATTTGTTCTTACAACAGCCTTGGGAGATTGAAGCTTCTTTATCCCCATTCAGTATTTAGGAAACTGAGGCAAACAGGATAAGTGGCTTCCTAGTGTCACCAGTTTGGATTTGAAATCAGGTTTTCCTGACACTTAGCTTAGTGGATCATTTTGCCCAGCCTTGTTCTACAGAAAAGGCTGTGTGTAGGCTGTGTGTGTGTGCGCGCGCGCGCGTGCGCCTAAACACAGCACAGGTCCCCTGGCACCAAATCTCCCTTTTTTGTAGGTTTTTTCCTTGTAATAACTTCTCCGTGGTCAAGTGATTTAAGTGGCTAGTGTGAATGTTTCATGTAAACATTTTGCAGGTCACATAAAATGCCTTATAAATGCTAGCTAGTTATTATTCTTATCAGAGAAACTGCCAGTTCTGACCTGATTATGGGCATTTCTCTTCTACACATCTTATACTAAACACATTTTTAGAATTTTGTGTAGCTTTTCATTTGAACTTTTCATTGACCCTTCTTAAAAATCGTAACACATTGTTTAATAGCAACAACCAAAGACTTGATTTATTTCTTGATACATTAAGTTAATTTCACAATTACGTCTTTACATGCAATTATCCTTTCCATTTAGTTTTTCCATTGAATCTAGTGCTTAGTTAAGCAAGTAGTGGTCAAGCTTTTAAGTCTAAATGTTTTCCTCTTAACTCATTAAGTCTTGTCTTTCTTTATAACTCATTAGTCGTAAGAATTTATCCATCTCTTTTTCTGGAGCCATATTAGAGGATAGTTAACCAGGTATTTGTGCTTGTAATGATAAAGGACATTTGTAGGTACTTGATCTGTGATTTCATTAATATAGGAAACTCCAAGATCAGAAAATTCTCTACCAATACAGGTTAGGACCTTTTATATAACTAGAGACTTATCAGTCTTAGAAGCAGGGATTCTTAACTTTTTTGGGTCATGGACTCCTGTGGTTGTCTGATGAAGTGTTTGGACCCCTCTCAGAATAATGTTTTTAAATTTGTAAAATAAAATATTTAGGATTACAAAGAAAATTGAAATATAGTTACCAATTTTTTTTTAAACTCACGTTTAAAAAAATCAAACCGGGGTAGCTAGGTAGCTCAAATGGATAGAGCACTGACTCTGGAGACAGGAGGACCTGAGTTCAAATATGGCCTCAGACACTTGACACTTACTAACTGTGTGACCCTGGGCAGGTCATTTAACTGTGATTTGCCTCACCAAAAATTAAAACAAAACAAAACAAAAAAAACCCCAAAACTGCATGTTTACATAGGTGAAAAATGCCTTTGCTAGAGATGCCTATATCACTGAGAAGTTAAAGACTTTCCCAGAGTCATATTGCTAAGTGTATATGTCAGAGGAAGGAGTTGAATTCAAGTCTTCCTTGCTTTGAGACAAGCTATCCACTGTGTTCCACTTTACTCTCTTCATATAGCTACTAATTTTTTTTTTATGAACTACTTGTAAAAATGGTAGGTGCTTATAATGAGACATAGGTCTTTATGATTGTGGGAGGAATGGCATCAGTTTGTATAAAAACTGACTTGCATAAGATGCAAACCTTATAAAAGCTGAACAGGCTTAACAGGCAATTTAATTGTATAGTATGTGAGTTTGCAAAGTAAGTGCAAGGGTTTGATTGAATTTTGCATGGTAGATGTACCAGGGATTTCTTTAAAACTGAGAGTTTGATATGTAGCATCTTTATCTTCTTCCACTTAGCTAGTCTTTGACCTTGGTTTTAACCTCCTATTAAGTTCTACATTTAGAATAATAGTCTTGGAAATCATTTTCAAAAGGGTAAATTTTTATTATCTATCTTGGAGGTATTTGGATACCCTTTAATTAGGAATAAAGAAAATTGCATTCTGTTCTTAACTGATGTTTTTCCTTTGTAATATGCCCTTATATTTTTCATCCTATCCAAATTTTAGGAATGTACTTGCAGCAAGGGAAATTATATCAGCCAGTCTTTTTCTGACCTCTGATATTTTGTGTATTCAAAAGTTCAAGGTTATAAAGAAAAATTATAATTAGAGTTATAATTAGATTTAGTATAGCTAAGTATGTTTATGACAAGCCATTATTCTTGTAATATTGTTTTAAAATATTGTATAATCTCAGTTTTGATAGCTTTACTAATTTGTTAAGCTGAGCTCCTAAATAAAAGCTGTTGCTGGAACTGTGACCACTGATGTCATTATTTGGCAGGCCTCTCTTGTTTTAGAAGATCTCTTGTAGTACCAGAGCATATGTCAGCTTGCTAATGGGATTCTTGACTTACGCTTAGGACCTGACATTTCAATAGTATCAAGACAGCAGTTGTTTCTGCACCCTGGAACAATCCATTCTGTTAATCCATTAGAAGTAGAATTTTATGAAAGATTTTTAAGGAAAAAAAGGGCTATTATGGGATAGTATAGTTAATTTCAATGTGAAAATAGCAAAGTGGACAAGATGGTTTATTGAGAATGTTACCAACCCTGTTATGTGAGGCAGCCATATTCCATTTCCATTTCTTCAATTATTGTAGCATAATAAGATTTACTAAACATTTCACATAATTCTCACTTGATCCTCATAATGCTATGAGGTAAGTGCAATAGATACCATCCCCATTTTCTAAATGAGGAAACTGAGACTTAGAAACATTCATTGACTTCCCCAAGATCACAAAGCTAGTAATAGGATTAAAAATCAGTGTTGCCTGACTATCCTCTTTTCTACTACCACAACTCTGGTGATAATGCTTTTTAAGTTTTTCAGGAGGTTTAAGGCCTGGAGTGTTTTTCAGAGCTACGAATGGAGGTTAACTATTTTAAAGCTCGTTAACTAATAGGCAGTCACGCTAAAACCTTGTCTCCAGGAATCAGCTAAACTGACACTTGCCTCTCTTTACTTTTGCATGTCTCCTTTTCAAAAAAGTTTTATCAATGCTTTTTGTTTGTTTTTTGTCTTTGCTTTTTTATTCTGGAGTCATTTTCCAGTAACCTGCCTCCTAATAGAACCCTCCCTCTTAGAAAGAAAAATGTTTAAGTAACACCAGCCAACACAGCAGCCAGTCTGACTGTGTGCAGAATTTTGCAACATTTATCACTACTCTGCCAAAAGAGTTTTCCTAAAACCAAGAATATTCAACCACATTTATTTTAAATTTTGATGTCTTTCTGTTGCTTTCATTTATGCTATTGTTGTTTTTATTCTAGCTTCTGCTTTCTTAGCTCTACATGGGTTCATATAGATTTTCCTATGTTTGTCTGAATTTATTGTCTTCATGCCTTATAGGAGTGTAATATTCCTTTACTTTTTACACACCACACTTTGTTTAACCATCCCCCCAGCTGATTCCACTTTGGTTCTAGTTTGTCTTTTCTCTTCCTCTTTTTTCTGTCTTCCTTCTCTTCTTCTTTTCCTTTTCCTTCCTGTATTCTGCCTTCTCCAAGAAATGAAGCTTTCCCCTCTAGACTAACTGTGATTTGAAGCCGAAACCTTTTTCTGCATTTACTACACTTTTTGAATGAATTTTAGTATCTTCTGTACTTTTAAGGTGAGTTGAATGTTTTGTACTTCCAGAAAATAAAATTTAAGTTTTTTGCGTGTAGCCTTAGACAAACTTTCTGTAAGTCAGTGCCCTTGATTAAAAATAAAATTTTCCCAATACTGGACTTAACGCTATACATTGGCATTAAGTGGAAACTGGCTTAAATCAAACTGATTTAACTTTACAGAAATAATATTATGAGACTAACCTATTTCCAGACTGAAGAGAATCTTATCCTAAATTAACAGCAAGGAGCACGTGTCCTAGTCAAATTGTCAAGAAGTAGTGAGATTATGTAGTATAAGAAAATTCCATTACACAGCAAGAGTTCTGTATAACAGAGTTATGTGCATGTTTCACTATGTGACTGTATGCACTGTGTGCAATAAGAGTTCTTTGTTGATCTTGTTACGAAGAACTCTCTACCCTGAGTAATTCAGGGGAAAAAATGCTTTCTCTGATCTCCATCCCTCATACATCTATTTTATAAAAACAAAAAAAGCGTTTGTGTACCATTTGCTATATAGGTAAGGGAGGGACGAGCTGTGTTGAGGTAGCGGGGACCTTCCTGTCCCCCGTCTCCAGTGTGCCAGGGCCCTTCGCTTTCCTCCCCTCTGCCTGATGGACGTCTGAATCAAAAGACAAAATAAAAGATTCGTTAACAAGGAGTGTGGTGGTGTCTCTGTCACGCTTTCTTTTCTGCTATTAAGTTAAAAACAATTCATGATTAACTAAAGAATAAGTTAAAATAATGTGTTTCTTTGCCATGTACCGAGTGAGAATGTGATTTCTAGCTATGGAAACCTTGTAACCAAAGGCTGCACTATAGCATCTGACATCTCATACATTCATAAACTTTTGCTAATAGTTTCACTGCAACATTATAATTTATTTTTTCCTATATATAGCAAGAGAAATTTTGAGATTAAGTTAGCCTATAGAAATTCAAAATGTTAGTTTTTTCTCAGGTTTTTGTTCCATATTTGTATTACTTTCCTGTTTGCATTTTCTCTTCCTTAAATCACATTTCCTATCATTTTCCTATCATTTTCGATGAGTTAATTCAATGTTATGACTATTTCCTGTCCTGAGAAAGTAAACGGGAGACTGGATTTAAGGCAGTCATAATTCCTTGATTTGCATGTCTTAAGGTCCTGAAAATAGTGTGCTATCTTTCTTGGTAATTCGGAATCTTTTTGTTCTTTTTGTTCATAAAGTTCATCATTATTTGACAAAAATCGTTGGAAAAACTAGAAGACAATCTGGTAGAAACTAGGTATAGACCAACTTGTAGCTGTATCCAAGATGAGCGCCAAATGGGTTCATGATTTAGACATAAAGGGTAATGTAAGCAAATTAGAGATCAAGGAAGAAATTATCTCTGTGGATACGGGAAGAGTTCATGACAGACTGGATAGAGAGGGTCACAAAGAGTCACTGGACAACAAATTCTAAAAGACTTAGTGGGTAGTAACTCTGATCAACACAGTGACCAACCATAATTCCAAAGGACTCGTGATGAAACCTGCTGCCCCCCTGAAAGAGCAGATTGAGGCATATATTTATTCCTTTTCTTTCCTTCTTTTTTCCCTTCCTCCCTTCCATGGCTAATTCAAGAATTTGTTTTGTATAACTACATATTTGTATGGTGGCTTTTTGGTTTTTTTTAACCTTCTAAATAGGTGTAAGAGTGCGAAGGGAAAAGAGGATTTGGAACTTTAAAAAAAAAGTAATAGTTCAGACTAATTCATAAATTGTTTTGACTTTTAAGTTTGGAGAATTGTATTCCATTGAGAGAATGTGTGCATGTGTATGTGCACACGTGAGGATTTTTTTCATCATTGGTAAATGTCTATCTTTAACTTTTACAGAATTGCTGGGAGATGTGCTCAAAGATAGACCACAGGAAGCTGATGGAATTGATTCCGTAATAGTGGTGGACAATGTTCCTCAGGTAGGACCTGATCGTCTTGAGAAACTAAAGAATGTCATCCACAAGATTTTTTCCAAGTTTGGGAAAATAACCAATGATTATTACCCAGAAGAAGATGGAAAAACTAAAGGGTAAGTAATGAAAAAGGTCAATTATCCTTTTCAGGGGTCCCTGACAGGCTGTAACAGTCATTGTTTTAGGACACCCCCCTCCTCTATATCAGTCTGCCACAAGGCAAGCAACTAGAGAAAGAGAAAAGAAAGTAACACTGTGGGTGTTGTGATCATGGAAACTTGCAGAAATCACTTTCAGAAATCCAGTTACTGTTTTGTCTTACTGCCCTCACAATTCAAATACAATGCTACAATTCAAGCATTTAGCCACAAATCCTGAGAAAAGGCTTTAACAGAAATGTAAGCTGAAAGAATTTTAGGAAGGTAAGAAACACTATTTTACCTTTTTTTTTTTAATAAGCAAGAAAAATCTAACCACTTAAAAAAAGAATAGCAAGAAACAGGTTTGTGCACAGCGTAACAGCCCATTAGTTATTTGAATGTATTTCACAAGCTATTGAGATGTGAGGTGAATACCAGTAATTCTGCTACCTTTTTTTAAAAATAAGTTTTTAAAATTAAATTTTTTTTTAATCAGCAAAAGTCTGCCTTTTTGTCCCTTCCTTCCTCCCCCCAGATTGAAAACAAAAGAAAAAAATTTGACTTCCTAACATGTATAGTCAAGCAAAACAAATTTCTGTATTGGACATGTCCTAAAGGAATGAGACACACAGACAGGAGAGAGAGAATATGACTATATCATTGATCAGAGTTCCTGAGTCATTGTGTAAATTATTTTTTTGATTCACTCTGCATCAATTTGTGTAATCCCAGAATTCTGTCTGACGTCATCCCCTCTAAGAATTGGGTTAAATACAAGGACCAGTTAAGGACAAAATCCCTTCTTTTTTTTTTTTTTTTTTAAAAGGCACTTGGGGGTTAAGTGACTTACCTAGGGTCACGTAGCTAGTAAGTGTCAAGTGTCAGAGAGTGGATTTGAACTCGGGTCCTCTTGACTCCAGTGCCCATGCTTTGTCCACTGTGCCACCTAGCTGCCCAAACAGATTCCCTTCTTTTGGCAGGGTGATGGGGATGGTATTTGTGGGAGGAGAAAACTATAGGCATGCAATGTTGTATACAGTGTTGTATACTGTCAGATACTGTTGCTTTGTAAGGAATGTATTTAGTGGGGGTATTTTGGGAAAGCAACTAGTATAAAAAAAACTGTCAATGAAACATTTTAAAAATAAATGGTAAAATTTGAGGAAGCAATACAGAAAGGTGAAAAAAATGCAGCTAGGTGACAGTCTGAATTTTGAGAGAAATGACCAATAACCTTTTTATATTATAATGAAATTTTCCTCTTTTGTGAAACAGCTTGAAAAGTCTACCAGCTGTTGGTTGTATTGGTCATACTAAAGTAAAACATCCTTTGAATATCTTAGTTATTTTATCTGTAATCAGTAAACATACTAATATTCACTAACTGACTTTGATTTCTGTTTGTTAAACATTCGTTTTATGTTTGTGGAGCTAGAGAATATTTTTCTGTATTTCCATTGTTCAAGTTTATGTTCTGGTTAAGGGATTTGTGCTAGCTGCTTTGGCTGAAGTTTGTTAGATTTTTTTTGCCTGTGGAAGACATCAGATGAGTGTGTACCTAGTACCTAACCTTTATTGGGTTTTATCCACAATGTTAAAAGGATTCCAACTGTCCAGTCACAAAGAGGTTTAATGACATGTCAACATATGCCAAAGACTAGTTGTGTCAGCTACTTTCCTTTTGTACTTCTTATATTTGTACAGTTATATTTTCCTGGAGTATGTCTCCCCTGCTCATGCCCTGGATGCTGTTAAAAATGCTGATGGCTACAAGCTTGACAAGCAGCATACATTCAGAGTAAACCTTTTTACTGACTTCGACAAGTAAGTACAGATTTTGTCTATGGCTTTCTTCATACAAACATGCTTATAACAGCTCTGTGATCTAATCAGTGAACTCTAATATTACATTGTTTAATAATTGGTCACGGTCTCTTTCAGATACATGACAATCAGTGATGAATGGGACATTCCAGAAAAGCAGCCCTTCAAAGACTTGGTATGGTGTTTTGCTTTACCTTTAGGTCCAAGGGGTTTAAAATATCTAAATGCTATTTTTGAAATCCTTCAGAACCATCAGAGAAAACAAAGGTGTCACTGATCCTTTGTTTTGATAATTTATTGTGATTAAATTTGAAAATAAATTTTTGATGACATGTAATAAACATTTTATTCCACTTTATTATTTTAGGGAAATCTCCGCTATTGGCTGGAGGAGGCTGAGTGCAGAGATCAGTACAGTGTCATCTTTGAATCCGGGGATCGTACATCCATATTCTGGAATGATGTGAAGGATCCAGTCTCCATCGAAGAAAGAGCGGTGAGAGTCAGCTGCTCTGGGGCTCCTAGAGCAATATAGTATGGGGAACCTGCAAAACCCCTCAAAGGATACCTATGTCATCTGTCTCTAAATTTGGCCTTTTGAATAGAGACCTTACTTTTAACATTTGTATGCTTCTTAAAACCTTTTTTTTTTTTGTTAAGTGTCATCATATGAAAGTTATATGAAAGGATATCACTTTCCTTCTCTGAGATTATAGCTCCATAACTGTCCATTATAGTTTTCTTCTGCCAAAGTAAATTGGGTCATAAAAATGAAGGTATTTGATTCAGTAAGACTGAGCAGTAGTCTTCAGTTTTGTAATTCTCTCTTGTATATGATTGTTTTCTCAGTTTTTGTTGGTTAATGTTGGTACTGATTTCCACAGAGATGGACAGAAACCTATGTGCGCTGGTCTCCCAAGGGCACCTACTTGGCTACATTCCATCAAAGAGGAATTGCTTTATGGGGGGGAGAAAAATTCAAACAAATTCAACGATTCAGCCACCAGGGGGTGCAGCTTATTGACTTCTCACCTTGTGAAAGGTATGCTTTATGAGATCTGATAAAGATTCATTTTAATGCTTTGAGTGCTCATTTCTTATCATGAGAAATCAGCTCTTATTTCATTCAGTATTTCTTTATAAAAGTATGAGAGATATTGTCTAGCAAAGGAGGCTAAACTTATGTGAAAAGGTTTGGATGTGAAAGCAAATGGAAACTGAATCTAAAGTACAAAGATCTAGTAAGGCCACGTTTAGGTCCTTGTCAGTACAGGCTGTCATGGTCAAAAAGTAGTCCCTTCAGTGTCCTGCATCTTTAGGAGGAACATCTATATTTTTCTTGAGTATTTAACCCAGTTTCCAGTTTTCTTTTTGTTTTTTTTTTCTTTTCTCCTTATTCTTTAACTCCTTACTCTTGGGCTTCTAGTCCAACTATTGTATTAAAAAACATTTTAGAAACAGTTTGACTTGTGGCTAGCTGGGAAATTTTCATCTTAACCTCTGTCTGGCTTTTGACATTTTGCTTTCTTTTTCTTCCCTTAGCTTTTTTGATATTAATGTTTTCACTCTTTTATGCTTTTTCCTTCAGTCGTTCTTCTTTCTCCCATCCCCTGTATTTATCCTTCCAGGCTCAGTTTTCCATCTCTTGTTCTTTCTACTTTCATTGTCTTACATTGTTCATCATTACATGGTTTTAGCTTATTACCTGGATGCTAAATGACTTCCAGATTGTTAACTCTAGTCCCAACCTGTCTTATAGCTCACTTTGCTTATTTACTGTCTCCTCCTTCATTATACAAACCACAAACAACTTAAGTATTTTGTTCATCCCTTTTCTCTTACTCTTCCCACAATAAGAGCAGCCGTATTTTTCATCTGCTCAAATGCCACCTTTTGTGTTGTGCAATGTGAATGACTGATAGAGCTTACTTGTGTTTCAGTATAGAATATTGTTTTAATGTTTTAAGTTTGAATAGGATGAGATGATTAGGGTGTTGGCACAGTTTGTACATATCAAGGAAATTCTAATTAGTGTCGGACAGGCCTATCCAACCATGTAAAGTAGCTCAAAATAGGAGTTTCATGGTAAGATAAACCATGGTGTGGGGTCAATCCCAAATTGAGTTTGTCAGGCCTTGGGTAGTCCTGCCAGGAGATATGCATTCAGCTGAAGGCATTACCCAGGATATTTTGGGCTATTTCTGTCTCTCTTCTCAATGTTTTCCTCTTTATTTTGCCATCCTGTTATAAGGAAGCAACCTGGTTTAGAGTTTCTTTTTTTCCATGGTATAAATAAACAGATGCTCTCGAGATAGAAAACAAACAATAATGTGAATAGTCAGGCCTCTAGGCACCAAGGTTCCCCAGCTGATGAATGTTAAGATCTGACTCTCATTTTATTTACCTTGTTTTGTTAATTCTACATTAATAGAAATGTATGAGAGTTCCTTTTTCCCTGGCTCCCAGGGCACACACATTATTTTATTTGGATTTATTTATTTATACATACATACATACATACTATCTAGACTTCAAAGGAGAAATGTTTTTCAACTGTATCACTTAGCACCAAGAATGCCACTTAGAGCTCTTGAAATCCAGTAGTAGTAACTGCTGAAATAGAAGCCTTTGAGCTGCTCTTGGGGCTGTAGGGGTAACTCCGTCAGTCATACCCCACGTGATTATGCCACTTAGTCTTTCAATCTCGGTCCCTTTCTCTCTAACTTGGGGGTGGATAATAACCTGCCTTACTGTGTGGTTGTGCCTATCAAAGGAAGGAAGATACAGGGAAGTTTAATATAGTGGTATTTCCTTCTCTCTCCTAGGTATCTTGTGACCTTCAGCCCTCTGATGGATACACAGGATGACCCTCAGGCTATAATCATATGGGACATCCTCACAGGACAGAAGAAACGAGGATTTCACTGTGAAAGCTCTGCTCATTGGCCCATTTTTAAGTAGGTTCAATATTAGCATCGAAGGTGGTCTTTATTAGACTCTAAAATTGTGGAACTTATAAGTAGTAACATGTCTGATTTTTTTTCCTTTTTTTTTGCGTAGGTGGAGTCATGATGGCAAGTTTTTTGCCCGAATGACAGTAGATACTCTCAGCATCTATGAGACTCCGGTAAGTGACGTATCTATCTAGGAAATAGAGTATTTAATGTAAGCAATTTTGCTTGATGGCATCTACTTCCATTCCCTTTGCCTTTTCAGGTTAGTAATTGTCTGGATTCTGGGCTTTGACGATGAAGGCTGGCCATTTTCTAATGTCTGTCATCCAGCAAATTAGTGTTATATTCTAAGCTTTCCTTGGGCAGAGTGAATTGAGGCCTTGTACTAGATATTTTTTAGTGTTAGCCAGATTTGTATTTTATATTGTATCTTGCCCTCCAGTTGCATTTGGACTGATTTTTGTGAGAGCTCTAATTCTGATGTGTTTTTGTCTGGCTGTATCTTTTTCTTCGTAGTCTATGGGTCTTTTGGATAAGAAGAGTTTGAAAATCCCTGGAATTAAGTGAGTATTTCTCCTTTGAGGAAAGCCTCGTTTCCTGTTTGTCCTCTGTCTTTAAGTAATGTCGGTGCCTTTTGTTCTGGCCATTTTCCCCCCTTAATCTTGGGATTAGTTAACATCTCCCATGAATTTTATTTTTGAGAATGGCTAGTGCTCAGCCTAGTAATTATTTTTCAGCAGCTACTCTAGTTCAGAGGGAACTAGGCTAGCCTGCACTTTATTTTACAGAAGCGTTAGTCATGAATCTTTAATCCTATTTGTGCTGAGGTCAGACAATATGGTTGTAAAGAGGTCATAGTTTCCAGCTTAATCAGTTTCATGGAAGCTCATTTTTGTGGGTATAAACTGAACCCTAAAACACAGTTCCCCATCTCCCACATGCTTGCTGTTAGTCACAGGATGATTTGTAACCAAGTAAAACCCAACACTCTCCTATCATAACAAACTAAGTTTCCTATTGATAACATTGTTTATGGATACCTCAGTATGTATTGTCTTAGATTTGAGTTATCCTACTCCCATTTTGCAGTCCTAGTACAGTTATGGTCTATATTCTTGTCAGCTTGTGTATGGAAATATTTTTGAGACGTTTGCATGTGTTAGATGATTTATCTTTATAAATTGTTGTTTGTAATAACTTCCAGTACTATGAAGAAAAAATGTGGATAAGATGTTTTGTACCACCCACAGTCCTTCTTTGCACGTATGTTTCCTTGCATATCTAGCTTTTTCTGCTCAGTTTCTTCATCTGTGCAGGGATGGGGTTAGACTAGCTGGCCTCTAAGGGCCGTTCCAGATCTAGTCTGTGGTCCAGTGTTGTCAGTCTTTGAAAAAAACATCAGATTGTAGTTGAACTTGTCCATTTTTATTTATACTGCGTGTTCTGTCACCTGGCCTTGTAGCTTATGTATTTATAATGTTTATATAAACTAATAGCACAACCCACTATCTTATTCCTCAGCATTTCCTGGAATTATCAGAGCAGATTAAAATTGCTTTAGTTGTTATTCTTATAGTAAGTTGATCATAATTCATTAATTATCATAATAAGTATTTTGATAATATCTTTTCCCACAGGGACTTTTCTTGGTCACCTGGTGGTAACATAATTGCGTTTTGGGTGCCAGAAGATAAGGACATTCCTGCCAGGGTGACCTTGATGCAACTCCCCACCAGACAAGAAATCAGAGTTAGAAATCTGTTTAATGTTGTTGACTGCAAGCTACACTGGCAAAAGAATGGAGATTACTTGTGTGTCAAAGTAGACAGAACTCCAAAAGGTACCCAGGTGAGTAACTACAGTGATTGCCTAGTTTCCTGGGAACTCAGACTTTTCACTTCATGTTTAAATAGCCCAACTCACTACAGATAAAGTATTTTTGTTTTGCCAGATTGTAGCATGAGTTTTCTTTATTTTTTTGATAACTCATAAATAGTGGTTTAAGATTTACAAGCTAATTTTGTCACAACAAGAGCTTTGTGAGGTAGATATTATCCACTCTTAATAGAGAAGGAAACTGAGTTTGAGAGATTAAGCGTGACTTGTCCAGAGAAAGCCAGATAGCTGATGAGTGTCTGACCGGAGATTTAAACCCCCAGGTCTTCTAACTAAAGCCATCTAGTTTTCTACTACCTCGGGTTGCCTCTCTCTCTATAACACTAACCACATTTACATAGCACTTTTTGGTTATGTGTCATTGAATTTTGTGATTTAACAACTGCAGTTGATATGAAAGTATCTAACTAAATTTGTAGCTACCATGTCAGATTACTATATTGTAGGAGGGGAAACGTTTTAAAAAATTAACCAAAGAGATGATTTTTCTCTCCCTCTTGTTCTCTTTTCCAATTGAAAAAAAAAAGGGTGGGATCCAAAACCCTTGTAACAGATATGTGTAATTAAGGAAAACAAATTCTGCAGTGGTCAAGTCCAAAAAAGATATCTCTCATTTTGAACCTTCAGTCTCATCACCTCCCCAGGAGGTAACATCCTTCATCGTCTGTCTTCTGGTTAATGCTATTAATCAGAGTTTTCACATTGATCGGAGGCCTTTGTTTTTATAGTGTTGCCATCACATAAATTGTTTTCTTTGTTTTGCTCACTCGAATCAGTACTTACAAGTCTTCCCAGGTTTCTTTGAAACTGTCCCCTTTGTTATTTCTTATTGCATAGTAATATTCTACTACATTCATATACCATAATTTGTCTTATCCTCTAATTAATGCCACCTCCTTTGTTTCCACTTCTTTGGATGAACAAATAAAGCATTTATTTAGCATTTACGTGCGGCAAAGGGCTGGGATCTGCTGAGAAGGAGCCCAAAACATTCCATTGCTTTGACACTACGGAAAAAAAAGTTATTGTTAGCAAAATCTTTGTACATCTGTACACAAGCAACAGAAAGTTCCTTTTCCTCTTATTTTGATCTTACTCGGGGTTAGGTTGAAAGCCGTACAGTTTAGTAATAACTCTTAGGACAAAGTTTCAGATTGCTTTTGGCCAGAATGACTGGACCAATTAACAGCTCCACTAGCGGTTATCAGTACCCCTGGTTTTCCCACAGCCCATCCAATACTAGTCATTTTCTTTTGTTGGTAATCTGCTGGGTGTGAGGTAGAATGTCAGAGTTGCTTAATTTTTTTTATTTCTCTATTAATGATTTAGAGGATTTTTCACAAAGCTATTGATAATTTGGATTTCTTCCTTAGAAAGCTTTCGGTTCACAGAGCTTTAGGCCATTTACCAGTTAGGGGCAAAACATTAATTTAAAAAAATTATTAATCTCACTGGGGTTAGAATCAGATGATCCATATTCAAGTTCTTGTTCCCCTGTGTTCTAGTTGGGCAGATAATGTACCATTTGGGGGCAAGTCATTTAACTTCAAAGTAATTATGTTTCTTATGTGTAAAATGAAAGAATCAGATTTGAAAACCTTTTAAAATGCCTCCCAGCTCCAAAAGTCTCTCTTTGACTGACTTTAGAGCTCTTTCTGGATTATTACTATTACATGATATTATTATATTTTACGATATGTTATTATATTAAAACAGTATTTTTCCTTACTTTTAAACAGGGTGTAGTAACCAACTTTGAAATCTTCCGTATGAGAGAGAAACAGGTGCCTGTCGATGTAGTAGAAATGAAAGGCAAGTTTCACTTTTTTGTGTTTCTTATGTGCCATATTTATGTAACTAAGCAAGGGAAATGCTTCTCACTTTTTAAATTTGAACAGGAATTTATATTCCACTTGGAATTGACCGGAATCTGAATATATGTGATTCTCTTGCAAAAATTTCATTTCCAAGTGATATGTTGAAACTTGTAAAAATGTTTAAGGGAGAGCTTTAATGCTGTATTACAGTAAGATAGTATTTGTGAAGTGCTTTACAAACCTTAAAGTGCTACATAAATACTATTAATAGTTCCTATTTGGTACATACTGTCTTATAAAAGTAAACTTTGTAGTTGGCTTTATTTTGAGAGAGAGTTATTAGTGATTACATTTGACTTTTCCAGCTTGAATATTTTTCTTGAAAAAAAATTATTTATTTTTATACTTTCTTACATGACTGGAATTTCTCCCAGTATCCCTTAATTTAGCCCTCTCAGAAAGCCATCTATATAACAAAGAATATTTTTTAAAAGGGAGGAAAAAAAGAAGAAAAAAAGGAAATAATTAGCATAATCAATTAATACCTAGTTTTAGTTGAACTGTAGTATTATTTTCACCTCTGCAAAGGAGTGAGATGGGAGTATTATCTCATTTCTCTACTTTGTTTTTCATTCACTTTTGACTTTTTTGTGGTTTTTTCCATTTACATTGTGGTAGTCATTTTTCTTGGTTCTGTTTACTACAGTGCATCAGATTGTGTAGATCTTTCCATGCTTCTCTGTATTCACTTTTGGTTTTTTTATTTCTTAGAGCTCAATAATATTTCATTATATTCATGTACCATGATTCTAGCCATTCCCCAATTTATGGGCATCTACTTTGTTTCCAATTCTTTGGCATCCCAAAAAAGTGCTACTATAAATAATTAGATTTGATTATATGGGGCTTTTCTAATTTTCTGTGACTCTCTGGTCTGAAAACCTAGTTGTAGAATTTCTGGATGGGTCTTTTATTTACTTTATTTGCATATTTCCATTTCCAAAATGGTTTGGTTGCACTGACTCCCAACTCCACCAACAGTGCATTAGTATGGCGGTCTTTGCATAATTTCTCTGATGTTTACTATTCCCATCTTTGTCAATTTACAGACTGAATTGAAACCTTGAGGTTATTTTAAGTTTGCATAAGTCTTTAATTGTTAATGATTTAGAACATTCCTATTTGCTTGAATATTTTTAGTGTTAGATGAAGATGGGCTGCATCAGAGATGTCAAACTCACTGGAACCAGATTTAAACGTAACTGAGAAATGTTTGACAAAATAAATAAAAATGCAGTACAACAAAGATAATATTAATTTGTTGTTGTTTAAGTCATTATGAGGTCTGCAGGGATCTATGGGGTTTGATTCCAATGACCCACATCCTTTTCATTCCATTGACAAAATGCTTGTGTGAGTGGTTGAACACAGCATTTTCATGCCTCAAGGAAAGTACTCAGAAAACCACACACTGAGTGTGGTTCCTAGGAAAAGTTTGTAACTCAGTATAAACTAACATTTGTGAAAATACTTAATTCTGTTGTTTGAAACCATACTTTCTAAGGATGTAATTCCTCCCTTTTTGCCTGTAATGGGTTACTTTTTTCTTTTTTTAATAATAACTAGCATTTACGTAGTACTTAAAAGTTTGCAAAGCAATTTATAAACGTTAACTTACCTGATCCTCCAACAGCCCTTTGAGGTAGGTGCTCTTATTATTGCCATTTTATGTGTGAAGAAATTGAGGCACAGAGAGGTTAAGAGACTGCCCACTTTTAAGTGGTTTATCTCCAGTATTGCTGGAAGCAATTCCTGGATTTACTTCTGTCTGGCCTATTGATCTCCTCTTATAAAGGATTACACAGATGTTAATTTACCAAGTTAAATATCTCATTTTAAGCATAAATGTGTCTTCATCTTTGATCTGTCTTGGAAAATCACTATATTGCATAACAGTTTGTAATCTCAGGTTTGTGAGGACCAAATGAGAAGTGCTTCACAAGCCTGATACTGATTTATCAGTAATTGTTGAAGACCTGGGTTTGAATCCCTTCTCCTACACTTAATTTCTTTGAGCTGCAGTTTCTTCATCTACAAAAGGGGAATGATGTTATCTGTAGTATCTACCTCACCAGGTTGTTTTAAAGCTCAAATGGGATAATGTTAGTCACACTGTAAACTTTAAATCACTATATAAACACCAGCTTTTATCCAGTGAAAGGAGGTATGAACCTCTTTTTCTTCCAGAAAGCATAATAGCCTTTGCTTGGGAACCAAATGGAAGTAAGTTTGCTGTTCTACACGGTGAAGCTCCTCGAATATCAGTTTCCTTCTACCATGTGAAAAACAATGGAAAGATTGAACTTATCAGTAAGTAGACTTTACTTGCCTTTATTGGGAACAGATGCCTCTTTCTTACTGTTTTGTGTCAGTGATGTTGTATCGTTTGTCCCTTGTGAACAGTGCTCATTTTACTTACATAGGAGCCAGTTTTTCCCGTAGCTTAAACTCACATAACAAGATATTGTTTAAATGTTCAATAAAGATAAAAAGTGAATTACAGTTTAAAATCATTGTGGATGGGAAAGTTGAGACCTTTTTGGAAACTGTGTGTATTAAGATACTATGTTTTACAAGACCCAAATGTGGAAAGTATAATCAGATATTCTTGGTCTTACTTTTGAATGTGCATATTCTGAGCGATAATTTCTCTTGTTCTGTGGAATAGATTGTCTAGGTATAGATAGTCTAGGTTTCATTGCTATGTCAGTATGTGACTTGGTAGTGGAAACTCACTTTAAAGAGTTGATCACATTGACTGATATAAGGCAAAAATAAGCAGTTGAAAGTTGTTTGGGAGATGGGAAGCATACTTTCCTATTATACTTTCCTTATAACTTGAATGATTTACGTTGTTCTTCCAAAAAGTATTACTTCAAGTTAAATGTCTCCCAGTTCCCTTTAAGTGAGGCACACACATTCAAATATGTGTTAAATAACCATAAAGACTAAGAAGATAGTCTTTTTAAAAAAAAAAAGTCAGGCATTTAAGAATTACCTTTTTAAAAATATATACCACACTGAAATCTGTTAAAACCATAATATTGCAGAAAGGAAAAATAACTGAGTAATCTCTGCCTGGAATGTCTGTCTCCCATCCTCGTCATCTCTGCCTGTTAAAATTCTCAACTCAGTTAGAATTCCCTCTCTAAGAAACCTTCTTTGGCCGCCTCTGTCAGAAGTAATCTTTCCTTCCTCAGATTTTCCCTAGTGCTTCTGCTTTTTTTTATATTATTTGTTTTGCCCTATCGTAATTGTCTGAAGTGCAGTGAATGTTGTTTGGCGATGCTTGCTGTTAGTCTAAGTTCCACAGAGACAGGAGCCGCAACGTGGTTATCTTTGGGTCTTCCCCACTTCCTGGAAAAATGCTTTGCCATGTAAGAGGTGCTTTAAAAAGGTTGGTTGCATAGATGGATGGGTGAATGAATGCTTTGACCTAGAAAACCATACAGCTTTATTAACATGTTTAAAATGAATAAATAAACTCCAGTTTCTAAAAATAATATACGACATGAACTTTAGTGCACAGACTTTATAACATTTTGGCTGCTGGAGGTTGTTGTTGATTATTGGCTGTGTTTCAGATAGGTGAGGTTGCCAAGTAAACGACCTCTGGAAAAGTGGTCCTGTGATTTTTGAAATGAGATATTTAATAGGTGAACTTGTTAAGCAAACAGAATTTTTTAAAAATCCAGAAAAAGCATATTTGAGCTAATATCTAATTAAAAAAAATAGCAGGAATACGCTAACAAAAAAGAAACTTCTAAGTGGAATTATTTGCCCAGATCATCCTATTTTTAAAAAGATTTTCATGGGAAAGTTGAGTTCATCAACTTAAGCAGTATCATTAAGGTTTCCAAATTTTTCCTCTTTGCCCTTTAAAAGGAATTTTAGACTGTTATTTACTTTGGCCTTTAAATGATAGATAGTCTTTTGTGAACTCTGGAAAACTTTAAAGACTGAGTTTTAAATAGCATTTTATTTTTTTCCAGTGACATGTAAAGACAAGTTCTAAGATTCATTTTTTTTTTAAATTGTAAGTTTCAAGTTTTCTCCCCCCGCCAGATGATAAGTAATTTGGTAAAGGTTATATATTACAGACTTGTTTTTGAAGCATTAGTGGATTCACTGAATCCACAGAAATGATTAGTTAATTTTCTAGTAGGCCTTCAAGGAACAGCGTAAACTCATCACCACGCCCTCTTTGGTTTGTTGTAATGTCATTTATCTCCTCAGGTAAAGAAACAGTTTCCTTAAGAAGAAGATTTTAACAAAATATTAACTTCTTTACAGAAATGTTTGATAAGCAGCAGGCAAACACAATCTTTTGGAGTCCCCAGGGTCAATTTGTTGTTCTCGCTGGTCTGAGGAGGTAGGTTTCTCTTATTCAGTACCTTTTGCTTGTCTCAAGAAATTTGCCATGCATGGTAAACACAGAAAATTGAGATTTGGTTCTTGTTCTTTGGATTCCCTCTTTGTAACATGAACAATTGTCCCAATGTTTGAGGTGCTTTATAGAGAATATATTCTTGTATGTTGGAGAGGTGATCCTATCTGTCCTCATTTTACAGATAGAGAAACTGAGGCCCAGAGAGATGAAGTGACTTTCTCCAGGTCACAGCTGTAATAAGTGGCAGAAAAGAGGATTAAACTGTTGTCCTCTGATTACAGATGCTGTGTTTTTTCCACTGCATCTATTGGTGCCCCTCTAACATTAACACATAGCAATCTGTCATCAGTGTCCTTAGACTTGCAGTTGTGTGATGGAAGCAAATAAAAGTATAATTTGCAAATGCCAGGAGACCTAACACACTTTGATGTATTGTGATTTCTATGTGATCATTTTCTGTAAGTTCCATTACTCTGTTGTAATTGAGTACTGAGCTATCATTTTCTCTAGTAATAATACTTTCATAGGTTGCATATCTTTTTGAAGGAAAAATGTTTAGTTACCTTTGAGAATATCCTTATTGCTGAGATCAGTTGTACAATAACTGAAAAGATCCTCTTCTTTCTTTACATGACGACCATTATCACAGAAGGTGTAGTGTTGCAGGAACATGGCTCTCATGCCACTCCTATATGCTATTGGAATATACTCCAGTTGTTAACTTTTCCAGTTTAATTTAATATTGCTATCATTTATCCATCTGTGAGGCCATAGTCTTCCTTTAAATGAAATGCTACAGGTAAAGCTGAGAGATGTCAAAGAGTTGTGAGGTACCTTAGTGGTTTACTCCATCCCTTAATCTCTAGCTTTCTCCTAATTGTCAGGGTAATACAGGCTATTTGTATGTAATGACCACCTTATCTCTACAGCATGAATGGTGCCCTGGCATTTGTTGATACATCAGATTGTACCATGATGAACATTGCAGAACACTACATGGCTTCTGATGTTGAGTGGGATCCTACGGGCCGTTATGTTGTAACTTCTGTGTCCTGGTGGAGCCACAAGGTAAATGCAGTTGTTGCTGGGCCTTTGAAAACAGGCAGTGAATGACATGGGTAATGTTGTGACTTCCTTGAGTGTCTTGTGTTATCATAAATTGCCTACTTTCCTAAAATATCAAGGAAGGGGAACGTGCTGGAATTATAGGTCATGAGTTGTCATATAATAGAGGCCTCTGTGCCTTGGAGAACCAGTCAAAGTATGTTGTCCCCATCCTATGTCCCTCTGCCCACTGGGTCTGGGTATACTGAAGTATGTTATCAGCATCACAAATTCTTTGCTGTTGTGACTTGGCTACTAGCAGTAAGCCTATTGCATACCACCTGCAGATCTTTTTCTTAAATCACACTTAAGGCTACTTTATATAGCGGATTGTTGGCATTAAGTCTTTGGGTTGGCCTGCTGAGCACCAAGATCCCAATTGTGAATTACTAGAGTAGGGAAAAAAGCATAGAAATTGTCCTCTTCACACTCATCAAAATTTAGATGGAGAGAATTACGTCAGAGAAGATAAAGTGGACTTTAGTAATTGCCAGTTGAATGCTTTGAGTCATAAAAAGCAATCAGAATCAGCTCATAGGGAAGATCAGAGCCTCCTGGGCAGAGTTAGAAGACCTGGAATTTCGTTTGTGACTCTGACTGGCTCCCACATATATACACTGTGGCCTGTTTCTCCCTTTAACTTCAAGCTTGGATGTCCCATAGACCTCAAGCTCAACATGTCCAAAACATCTTTTTCCAAATCCACCATCTTCCACAATTCCCAGTTGCTGTCAAAGGGAGCATCTTTCTTGTGTTTTTTCAGGTTTGTAAGCTTGGTTGTTTTCTTTGACTAATCGGTTCTCCCTCACCCACATAAATAGGCAGTTGCCATTTCTTGCTTCTTTTCTGTCTGCCCACCAACTTTCACATGTGACCACGCTCTTTACTCAGCCAGTTTCTGCCTCACTTCTTGCCTAACATATTACATTTTACTCCGTTAGTGTCCCTGCCTCAAGTACACTTTGTCTACTGTGGTCCAGCCTTCATATTGCTGACATAGTAGCAACAATTGTATCATTAAAAGTGGCATTAGTTGTAGTTATTTCTACCATTTCACATCCCCTTCCCGCCATCCTACCCATACACTAGATAAACCCCATTACCTTACACACACACACACACACACACACACACACACACACAAACACACACACACACACACACACACACAAACACAAACACTTACCTGCTGTCATTTCCCCATCCATCCCTGTGGACATGCACTAGTTGTCTCCCATGCCTGGAATGTACTTCTTCCTTACTTCTGCCTCTCAAAATCATTCTTACTTTAAGCTCTTAGTTCTTTCTTTTCCATAAAGCCTTTCTCAATCCTTTCAGCTCTTTTGTGTTTATTCTGTTGACTTACTCTGTTTATCATGTTTACTTACATGATTTCTTGTTGTCACCTCTGTCGGAATGTGAGCTTCATATGTCAGGTAGGGATTGTTTCATTTATGAAGTTTGTATCCGTGTACAGCCTTTTGACCATCTGGCACTTAATCAATACTTGTTGATTAGTTGTTTGGTGGAAAGTTTTGGGGGGCTAGAGTGGAGGGTTGTTGTCTATAGGCTGCTATAGGGCAGGGTTGACAAATACTTTGAGTAAAATTCATCATTATTCACCAAAAATTAGGTGCCTTCTACGCATTAGGTGCTAGAAATACAAATTATGTTCTGCCTGGGGCCATGGGATACAACATGTGCAAAACTAAGGAAACTTCTCCTTGGAGGAAGTGACACCTGAACTGAACTTTGAAGAAAGAAAGAATCCTGAGAGGTAGAGAAGAGGGAGGACATTTCAGGCCTTGGGGAATGGACCATGATCTCGAGGTGATAGAAGGCAGGAGGTCTGGAACACAAAGTGTTTGAGGGGAGTGATGTGGAATCACACTAGAGGAGTGAACAGGAGGAGTGGAGTTAAACCACAGAGGACCTTGGGTGCCAGGCTAAGGAGTATGTCTTTTCATAGGTTAGTAGTTAGAGATTTAGAGTTGGGGAAAAGGCTTTAGGAAGCCATTGAGTTCAGTTCCTCATTTTGTAAATGAAGGAGCTGAGACATAGAGAGGCTAAGCAACTTGTCTGTGGTCCCATGTCCAGTTGGTATTGGAGGTGTGATTCAAACCTAGGTCTTCCTGACATGGTCAGACCTGTGCCTTGGGAACATTATTCTCACACTTAGAGAGGATAGATGGAAAAGGAGAGAGACAAGCTCTTTCAGTAGCATAGAAGAAAGAAGATGAGGGCATGAAATAGGGTGGTGAGTGGACAGGAAGTGATGGATTCAAAAGTTACTGTGAAGGTAGAATCGATAGGATTTTGCAACTGATGGAATATGACTGGAGTTAAGGGGGAGTTAAAGATAACTGAGGTTATGAACTTGGGTGAATGGGAAAATGGTGGTGCCAGTAGAAATATGGTGGTATCTACAGAAGTAAGGAAGCTTAGAAAAGGTGTGGGTTTAGATGTAAGATGAGTTTGGGTCATGTTTGAGGTGCTTATGGGACATCTTAGTGGAGGTGTATAATAGGTGTTGGAGATAGGGAATTCGGTTTTAAGAGACTGAGACACTAGTAGGAGGAGAACCAGGAGAGAGGAAGCAGAGTGTTAGAGAACCAGGAGAGAGTTCAAGGAGCCAAGAGAGGGGAATGTATCTAGGAGAAAGGCATAGGATAGTGAGCAGTGAGAAATGGGCATTAGAGGCTGAAGTAAGGACTATGAATAGTTCTAGGAGGAGTGAGGCAGAAGAAGAGCTGGAACAACACATTATGATCAGAGAGGAAAATATCAGTCTTAAGGGGTTTTTTTTTGTTTGTTTGTTTGTTTTTAGGCAATTGGGGTTAAGTGAATTGCCCAGGGTCACACAGCTAGTAAGTGTCTAGTGTTTGGTCTGAGGCCCGATTTGAAGTCAGGTCCTCCAGAGTCCAGCGCCGGTGCTCTATCCACTGCACCACCTAGCTGCCCCTCAGCATAGTTATTGGAGTGCCCTTTTCCCCTCCCCCCAGTTATGTTAAACCTGAAATTATGTTATGTATACATGGATGATACCCCGGATCTCAGTGTACATTCCTAGAGTCTTATATTTCACATTTACCACTCAGGTGGATAATGCCTACTGGCTATGGACCTTCCAAGGACGTCTCCTTCAAAAGAATAACAAAGATCGTTTCTGCCAGTTGCTGTGGAGGCCTCGGCCCCCAACTCTACTCAGCCAGGATCAGATAAAGGTATGGTTAGGTTATGAAAATGTTCGTGACCCTGGAGGAAGATAATTAGTTTAGTTTTGACTTGCGTTTTCATTGATATTTAGGGAATGTGGATAATGATATTCTAAGACCCCACTTTTGAAGGGTAACTCTTTGTTTTTAGGATAGTGGAATATAATGAAGAGCACCAGTCGTAGGGGATTATCTAGACTTTTATGGCTTCGCACCTTCAGAGAGTACTAGTCATTTAAAAATATATCAGTACCATTTCGATAAGTCCCGTGTGAACTGAAGCGGTGAATGGGAAATAAGTGTTGAAGGTTGTTTAAAAAACTTTAATGGGTTTAAAAGCAACATTTCTACAGGATTTGCATAATTATAATGAAATGAGTTAATGATATTAGGTCAAAACTAAGAGGGAGACTGAGTAAATCCCAGGGCTAGAGAAGAAAGCCCTTCTAGATGAAGGGGAAACCTGCTTTTAAAAAGAATGTTAAGACCACTTAGATGTTCCTGGGGGGAGTGTATCTATTTAATCTTTGTGGGTAACAGTTCATCCTGGTAATTTTGGAGCTTGCTTTTTTATTCAGACTTTGTATGGTTTAAATCCTGAGTGATTTGTCTTTGTTTTAGCAAATTAAAAAGGATCTGAAGAGATACTCCAAGATTTTTGAACAGAAAGATCGTTTGAGCCAGTCCAAAGCCTCAAAGGTAAGCTTTGTTCCTGACCTCAACAAAAAGTGAAAGGCAGCTTTTTCATGATACAGAAAACAAGCATGTTGGTTATCGGAGAAGAGAGCATCATGACAACACAGAAAGGAAAGGGCACACTGAAATGTTTTTCTACGTGGAGATACTGAAAATATAATTCTGCTTCCAGACACTAAAAACATTTTGAAGCATTAAGGAGTCTTCATCAAATTGATGTACTTGAAGTGCTAGTTGTTGGTACATAAAGGGTTTAACCCTGTTGTCATTACATCTCTGTCCTATAATATAATCAAAATGTTCATTTTTACCTAATAGTAAAGATGCTCTGTATCCATAAACACTGTATTGTATAAAGGATCAAGCTGCAGCTTCCAGAATGAGGTTGTTTATCTCTGCCCCCGTCCCTACCCTTGCCCTCCAGAAGCCAAACTAATATTCTAGTAAAGGGAACTGTATTCTGAAAGGGAGGAAAATCAAAAACAGAGAACGATATAACCCCGATTTCCCTTTCCCCTTCTTCTTCCCTTTGTATTCTTTAATTAAAAGTTTTCTTCTCAGGATATAGTAACCAATATTAAAAGGCTTTTTGGGTGATTTTAGTACATACGTGATGCCTCAGGGTCTCAATTTCAGTCTAATAATACCCTTCATCTACATTTTTCTCTAGGAATTGGTAGAGAGGAGACGTACAATGATGGAAGATTTTAGGAAATATCGAAAAATGGCCCAAGAACTTTATATGGAACAGAAAAATGAGCGTCTGGAATTAAGAGGAGGTAAACAGCAAATACTGTAATAACCATTTCTAGGTGCTTTGTAAATTTGTTCTATAATATAGAGATAAATCTATTTTTAAAACCTTTGGGTACCGGGAAAATGGAGGCTAAATTTAAGCTGTGTGGAAAGCACTTTTGCATCTATTTATAGTGCAAACATAGTCTTTCACCCTTGAAAATTTTTAAAATCAAAAGTTTGGTGTTAATTCTTGTTTGAATACAGAAGTGTTTTATTTGTTAAGCAGTCATTTGGTATTTAAGCCATTGAGTTAAAAAGGAAAAAAGAAGAGAGATCTAATTTTTTTCTTAATTTTTGAGTTTTTTGGTAGCGTTCAGTTCACTACGAACGTAGCGTTGCAGTTGAACATCGAAAGTGCCCTCAGTCCTTTTTTTTAATAGTTTCTTTTTCTTTTTATAGGTGTAGACACTGATGAACTAGATAGCAATGTAGATGATTGGGAAGAAGAGACAATTGAATTTTTTGTCACTGAAGAAATTATTCCCCTTGGAAATCAGGAGTAATTTGATAGAGTTCTGGTAAGATTAATTCTTTTTGTTAAATTTTCTTGTCAGTTTTCTTCTTTCCCTTCCAAATCATAGAATGTAAAATAACTATCTGTATACACGGAACTAATCTGGGGTTTAAAGTCTTTCTGTGTCTAGGCAGCTGGTGGCACAGTGGATTAAGTGCTGGGCCTGGAGTGGGAAGAACTGAGTTCGAAGCCTCTATTTGCCTCAGTTTCCTCAACTGTAAAATGGGGGTAACAATACCTACCTCACAAGCTCATTGTGAGGATCAAATGAGATAATAATTGTAAAAAACTCTTAGCACGTGCCTAGATTCCAGGTTTTCCTTATTTCAAAGTCAAGACTCTGTCTATTGATGCCTTGTTTTCTCTTTGTGGCATAGTCTATTTGGTGTGTTGTGGTTAATTAGATTGAAGATAACTGTCGGAACTTTTCATCTGAGATTTCCTAGATGAGTACAAAACCATTTTATAAAAAGGTGAACAGACTTAAAAGTTGCCAATGACTAAAAGTTGAATTTTAAAAGGGGCAGACTTGGAGAGGCTATGGGGTGGAGCGTGGCCTGGAACCAAAATTAAAGCACATTCCACACCACCAAGATAAGGGCCCCTCCTCTGTCTCTTGAGATCATTGGGGGAGGGGGGGGAAGGGCAAGCAAGTCAACATCAAGCATTGCTGCTGTAAGGCCAATATTTGAGTAGCTGCTGATCCTTGAGTGTATTACTTATCCTTGTTTTCCTGTTTAATGAGGTAGCGAGCTTACCACCAGAAGTATTAAATAGAGACTGGAATGCCATTTATCCAAGGTAATTTAGGATAGATTTCTGGCATTGGATAGGAGATGAGACTCAATCATGTATTTATTTCTAAGATTCTGTGATTGTAATTGCTTCATCTGCTTGGAATATTCCAAGGGAAAGGGAATGATAATATTAATTGTAATTGCATATAGACCTTTCTGTAATAAAAAGTGCTTTTGCATATTCAGTAAAGTAAATATTAATCTTTTTGTTGTTGTTTTTTTTAATCATTGCAGCATTGCCATATATTGTGCCAGGAGTGGAGTTCATCCTTTTGCAGAAAGCCTACACAGCTTCTGAGTTATTTGTGTTTTCTCTTGCTGTCTGGACAGTGAATACACCTGGATCCTTCCATTCTGACACATTTTGTGCCTTTAAACCCCAGTGTCTGCATTGTGGGAGGTTTTAAGGCACTGCTTTTAAATTCTTACTTTTGGGGGATTTTTTAAAAATCCAAAACTACCAGTATTTGCTACTTGGACTTTTATGCAGGGCTGCTGGCAGGTAACTTTTGATTACTGCTCCCAGTAGCATTTCTTAAGTGTATCATCCCCACAATCACACAATGTTGCCATTCAAGGACTCTCTTTATATCCCAAGTGCATGGACTGGTGTTCTTTTTGTCCCAGAAAAAATCTGCAGGAAAACAGTGTATCATTCATGTTTTAGTGTGCTGAAGCAGCACTATAGTGGGCTGTACCCTCCACCCTTCAGATTGTGATAGGGTTTCTCAACAGGTTGAACATGGAAATAAAAAGCAGACCTATGTTAAAAAGCCGTCTTTCTCATCTCTTTTAAACCTAGAAAACTACCTAAAATTTACTTTTTTCTCCCACAATCTGTTTGGAAATGGAAAATCTGTTTCCAAGGCAGAACTGTATTAGTGTATATCCTTCTGATTCTATTTTTTATGCTTCATTTAAAGGAGTATTCTACTTACTTGAGTGATGAAACAACATAGAAATTATGTACACTAGTTGAGAGCTCTGCAGAAAGTGTTAGAGCACTACGAGTCCTAAAATTCATGTCATCTCACTTGATGTGCTCCTTACACTCGGCCTCAGAGACACATGGGAACTTGCCTTGATTGAGGTTTCATCTTAGGATTATGGTCTTCCCTTTGAATATTTTAAATGCCACATTCATTCTCAAGGGGTAGTATGCAAACCCTCATGCTCATATTCTTGTTTCATTTTTAAATTGCCTTACTAAACCCACTGTGATTCTCTCCTTGTCCTTTGACTCTCTCTTTGACTCCTATCAGAAATCAGGGTTCAAGGGTTCTAAAAGGCCATACTTGCACTGAGTCATCTTTGTAGTTCAGCTCAGTTCATACCAGAGAAACAAAGTTGTGGGTTCACCAAGAACTAACTTTTATGTGGCGGAATGCAAAGGCAAAACATCCTTGAAGCCAAATCTTTTGGGATTGGAAGACATTCTGGGGGTGTCATAATGAGCAAATTTTCTAGTTTTTGCCAGCTGCCCTTAACTCCTAAGGCGACCAGTAACGTTTGATACCACTTTGTATACAAAAGAAAGCAGTAATATTGGGTTGCTTTCAAGCTGTTCTTCCCCCACTTCCCTTCTGATCCACTACTTAAATACTTAAATAAATAAGCCTTTTAAACACTTCTGGCATCTACTATTTCCTTTGTAATTAATTTTGTGATTTATCCTGCATTCTAACTCTGATGAAATATTCTGATCCTATTTAGTTAGTTGTGTAACTACCTTAATATATTTTATAGTATCTCAGGTCACCCTTTTCAAATTTTTTAGATCTTAGTATACCAGTACATAATTAGTTTCTTGAGTTTTTCCAGAGAACAATGGAGTGTTGTCTGATAATTGATGGATTTTTAACAGGGCTGTTCCAAGATTAGCACTTGATGTTTTTTAACTTCATAGTTGCAATTGTTTTACATAATTTATAAATAAAGGATTTCTGAAATATTTGTGCTTGATTTAATAAGCTTTCCCTCCAAATAAATGGATTTTTGTATAGGTTTTCCGGAATTAGTAATAGATTTGTACTAATGGAACAGATAACACTGTACTCTACTGACATTAGCAATCTGAGTGGCCTAATTAATACTGATCTCCCAGCTGAATGACGCAGATTCTATTGGCAAGGTCTGCTAATTGAAAACAATTATACTGAATGGTCATCACTTGGCCTGCACTTGAAGCCTCTCTGCCTTCTGCTTTGCCTTTTCGGTGTTCTTCCTCAAATGTGGCCCTGAAGACTGAGCCCAGTACTCCTTGTGTGGCCTGATGAGTGCAGCGGGGTTGTTAGCGCTCTCATTTTGATGCTCTGGCTCTGTATATTTGCAATTTGGTGCACCTCTTGTGTTTGACTGATTTCACATGATTCGCTTATTCTAATTCAGCCCACCCTGTTACTCTCTATGCAGTACATTCCCATCTCCAGCCTCTGCCTTTGCGCAGACCTCATCTCTGCCTCCTGTTCCACTTCCCTTTAAGGCTCAGGCTGTGTCCTGTCCAATGGAAGGCCTTCCCTCATCAAACCAGTTTCTAGTGTTTCTCTTTCCCCAAAATTACTTGGTATTTTGTACATTTTATATTTGCCCATTTATGTACCTGACGTTTTTCCCCAGTAGAATGCAAGCCTTTAATGGCAGAGACTTTACCATTTCATATTTGTATCCCCAGTACTTGGCACAGCACCTACTTCTTGGTGCATAATAAACACTTATTGGATCAGATGTATATACATACGTATGTATAACATGGTACATAAAATACTATATAATGTAGTCTAAGCTGGTATTTGACACAATGTTGACTTAATGAGCAACTAAACATGATTCAAGGGGAAGAGGTTTATCTGCCTTTAAATTAGGACGAGTTCAAACGCTGACTATGTGGCTGTAGACCTTCGTGACCTTGGGCAAGTGCTTAACCTTTCTGGGTCTTTTTCCTCATCTGTAAAATGAGGGGGTTGTACTAGATGGTTGCTAAGATCTCTTCCCAGCTCTAAATGTTACCCCTAGATTTCTTTTTATTTTAATTAAGTTTTTATTGATACATTTTTTTAGATCATAATTTTTTGCAGTATCACTCCCCTTGTCTCATAAACCCCCCCGACCATAGTTTTTTTTTTTGCTTTTGAAAAAAAAATAGTGCTTTATTTTCCCTTTTCCTTTTTTAAAATTATTTTTAGTTTTCAACATTCATTTCCACAAGATTTTAAGTTCCAAATTTTCTCCCCAGCTCAACCCTCCCCCCTTCCCAAGTTGGTATGCATTCTAAATACTCCTTCCTCCAATCTGCCCTCTCTTCTATCACTGCCCCCCCTTCTCTTATCCTATACTATTTTTTAAAAGGAAAAAAGGCACAACTGATTAATACATTGAAAAAAAATCTGTACTAGTATACCATACTTTGGGACCTCCCACTTCTACATAGGATTGATGGTGTCTTCTCATATCTCCTCTTTGGAGACATGTTTGTTCTTTGTAATTTTGCAATACTCACTTTTTTTAAGGCAATTGGGGTTAAGTGACTTGCCCAGGGTCACACAGCTAGTAAGTGGCAAGTGTTTGATCTGAGGCCGAATTTAAACTCAGGTCCTCCTGACTTTAGGGTCACCTAGCTGCCCCTGCTACATTCACTTTTAACTTTTGTGATCTTCCATTTGTATTTTGTAGTTGTGTACGTTGTTTTCCTGGCTCTGTTTACTTCCTTGAATCAGATCATGTAAATCTTTGCTTCTTTCTATCTAGTAGCCTCAACAGTATTTATTTAGCCATTTCCCAATCGATGGGAATCTACTTTGTTTCCAACTTTGCTATCACAAAAATTGCTGCTATAAATAACTCTGGTGCGTAAGGAGGCTTTTTCCTTATCAAGGAACCCTAAGGGAGGCAAGTATGTGCAAAGCAGATAAGCACGCGAGTCCTGGGAGTAGCTCTTGTCCTGCTTCATTTCCAGACCTCACAGCCATTATCTGGGGAAGTAACTCCTTTACAAAGGGGCCAACTACCCCCACTAACTGCTAAAAAGCTGTCACACAGGACAGGCAAACCAGCCTGCCTAGCTGAAGCACTAGGAGAGACAGGAGAACACACCAGCAAAACAAATTACCGCCTTGAAGGATCTCCCTCAAGCCCCGACAGAGACAACCTAGGACTCTGAACTCAAGAGCCTTGGGAATAGCAATGCTTACAGCCCGGTGCCCCCCGCCATCATCCTGAGAAGGAGCCGCTGTAGAAATGCAGCCTAGCAATTACTCCTGTAGATGCTCTACCCACAGCTACTGAAGACCCCCAAAAAAGACTTGCCACCAAGACCCTTGGCAGTCAAACAGTTCTACATTAGAAACATTAGAAGTGGAAATGACCTTACAAGAAGAGGCATTACCATCTGCCTTGCTGCTGTATCTGAGGACCACGGGACTTTTCCTGTCTGATTTAGAGCCGAAACCTTACATGTGTGTTGTCTCCCGAATTAGAATATGAGCTCCTTGAGATCAGGGACTGGACTGCACTTTTCTACTTGTATCTCCAGATTTCACACAGTGCTTTGCATATAGTAAGCACTTAATAAATACTTCATTCATTCAATCATTATCAGTATCCTCATTGAAGCATAAACCTAGCAGTGAAATCTCTGGGTTAAAGAGTATGGATTTTTTTTTGTCACTTTATTTGCATAGTTTCTTTTGAAAATGACTACTGATTAGTAATTACACTAACAATAAATCAGTGTATCTATATTCTAATAACCCCTCCAACATTGAATACTGTTCATATTTTGTCATCTTGACCAATTTGCACACTGAGGTGAAACCTTAGGGTTGTTTTCATTTGCATTTATCTTATTAATAGTGATTTGGAGAATTCTTTCACATGGTTGTTAATAGTTTACAATTCTTTTAAGGACAATTCATATCCTTTCATCACTTAGCTTACATTGGTGTGTTTTTTTTTAAATTAAGAATATTTTTCAATCAGAAATCTACTTTTGCTCTCTTTCTCTCCTTATCCTCAGCCCAACTGAGAAACAAAGAAAAATAAAACCCTTATTACAAACATGTATTGTCAGGGAAAACACATTTCTTCATTGGCCATGTCCCTGCTTGACGCGCCGCCCTCCCCCCTCTCCGCCCAATATGGCTCATTCTGCACCGAGTCCTTCACCTCGATTAGGAGATGAATAGCATGTTTTCATCATTTGCCCCCTTGAATTGTGGTTTTTCATTATGATGATCATAAGTCTCTCAAAGTTGTTTATTTCTTCCAATACTGTTGTCATTGTATAAATTGTTCCCCTGGTTCTGCTCATTGCATTACTTTATTCAAGTCTTTCCAGGTTTCTCTGAAACCATCCCTTTCATTATTTCTTACGGTGGCAGTAGTATTCCATCACATTTATATACCGTAACTTGCTAAGCCATTCCCCAGTTGAAGGGTACCCCCTCAGTTTCAAATTCCGTGCGCAAGGACTACTGCCACCTTCTGCAATCTGTTGATCCCACTTCCCTCCTGATGTGGTTCATTACCTCATTAGTTTCTTATGTTCATTATCATTCCTCGGAAGTTAAACTCTATTATTTAAAAGCCAGGGATGCTCTAACCCAGGCTTAAGTAACCTCCTGTCTAGTTGCAGCTCTAAAACCTTTCCCATTGCTGGGTCCTTCCCACGAGAACCTCTTGGGATCCCGCGCGGTGATGTCATCCGGGGCCAGCCGGGGATGTGATGAGCATATCCGCGGGGACTGCAGGTACCAAGAGGCGCCATCGGTGACTGGGAGGGCACAGGTGTGTGGCTCCATTCCATGCCCATTTTTCTTATGCCCTCCCGGCTCAACGCGCCCTCAGCCGAGGAGCATTCTTCCCGGGCTAGCAGCGGGCTCGGGAGCCGGAGCAGCCAGGCCATGAAGGAGCTCCCAGCTGAGCCTAAGGAGCAGCAGCTCATGGTGAGTCCGAGCGTCGCTCCCTCCCTCCCTCCCTCAGAACTGCAGTAGGGCGGGCTGGGTTTCTTGCTCTGTCCCTGATCCCCTCCGTGCCCACAGAACTGTCTCCATTGCCTTTCACGGACCTTCAAGGAATGTTTCCAAATCCTGAATCCTCTCCTCTCCAGGAGAGCTCTCAGGTACGCTACTCCATCTTCCTCTTTCCTAGCTTCTTCACCCTTCTCCACAGCTCCCCTACAGGTTTCCCTACCTCCCTCCCTTAGCTCTCCAGTTGTTTCTTCTTAAGGGACTTAAGCAGATCCCAGCCCGTGGCCCCCATGCCCAGGTTGGAATTTTACATATTGCCCTCCACGACCCAGAACTACAGCTCTTCAGAAAACTTAACCTACCTTAATCGACGAGGAAATTCAGAAGAAAAGTGGGGGAACTTGATCTAACATTGGAATAGATGAGGCATCCTCACAAACACAGTTAAGGATGACTCCAGCAACAGGAAAAATAAGTTTTCATAGTTCCTCTAGGAATGTAATTATTTCTTCTCCACTGGGGACACTTAAGCCAGAAAAGCATAAGAAGAGTGGTCACTGAACTGAACCACACATCTGTGCCCTCCCAGAAGTGGAAGAATTTAATTTGAAAATTTTTTTTCATCAAATGTATGATTTTGGAAACTGATTTTTCTCCTTTCTAC